TCGGCTGTTTTTGTTCCTCTCTCTCTTCCTCCTATTTTATTTTTTACACTTTTTAATGACATTAGTGAAGCCCTCGGGGTCAGATTACTGCATGAAAATGTCATATTAATAACATTTTCATTGATTTCGACTCTCTTTAAGAACAGTGGGAGGCCCAGACAAGCACAGACACACATTAATTTACCAAAGAAGAGCAAAGATAAGAGTAATTTGTGTGTCACAATTTTATTTCCTCTTCTTTCCTCTCTGGTAATCGTCTGTGATGTCTCCAATTTATGAACCTTAACAGCGCGTGACTATCCAAGTGTTTATAGCACCACTACCAGCTACAGCAGTAAAAGTGTCTTACAGTGACTCTCTGCAGACACTTAGCTGTTAATATTTCTTGCAAAATAATCAGAATAAGAGCTGTTTTAATAAGTATAGGAGCAGCAGGGGCATCAGCTGCATTAGTAAGAGCGGTAAAAGCAGCAGTAAGAGAGGAAGTCCTTTTAATTTATAGACAACTTAGAAGTTGTTTGACCACTTTGAGTAAGACTAGAAATGCACTGTGCAACTGTGGTCTTTCCCCAATCACATATAAAAAAAATACTAATTGGTACTATGCATAGAAATTCTGCAACATTTTTCACAAAGTCCATTTTTGTAGTGTGCAACACTGTCAGTGGAGGTTAAAGACTGGCCTCTGAAAGGTACAAACCACAAGCATTCAATGAAAAGGGGAAGCGCTCCAGTGACAAGCACACGCTAAGCAATTTGTTGTTCAGCTTGTTTCCCGATGACACTTTGACTAGAGGAGCTGGGTTATTATAACTCCGACCTTCCAGCTTCACCTCCTGAGCCTCAATCGACCCGTACAACTGAAGGTACAACTGGATACTTGGGTTTGTTGACCTGCTCCTGCCGTCATCCTGCTGCGAGATCGCCAATAATCAATAACCAACCACTGTCCCTGAGGAGGGCTGTGGAGAAGGGTTAAGTGTACTTGTTAATTAAACTGTAATTTAAAGTCAAACCAGATTAAAAAACAAACCACACTTCCTTCTGTTTTCTCTAACTCTGGATCAATGACACACATTCATTAATGTCAAAGAGGAAACAGTACGAGCCCGGATCTGCAGGGATTGTTTAAATGGACAGGTGTTGACATGAATGGTATCAAGGCACATTGAATCTGGAATCTTGAACTAAAATAATTAATCTAACAATTCTGAGAACAGGAAATGAATGCATTCATAATAACAAGCTGAAAACCCCCCACAGTTACTTGAGAGCTAATGGCAAATCAATCTGACTATCTTTGCTCCCCAAGATATTTATCCTGCAACACAACCTTATAATTTGCTTTACTTTCACAGGGTCAAACACTTTATTGCAAGGATTCTACAATAATACCGAGAAAACAGAGAAAAACCCAAACAATCACATTGGCCCCTTTGACCAAATGCTGTGGTGACAGTAGGAAAGAAAAACTCCCTTTTAACAGGAAGAACCCTCCAGCTGAACCAGGTGCAGGGAGGAACAGCCGTGACTAGTTGGAGGTGAAGGGAAGAAGATTGGGCCCCAACCTTAAGTGTGGTGTAGTTATCAGCAAGCGTGGTGAGCTTATGAGCAAGCCCCACCAATAAATGAACACTAATAATAACTACAGATTAATAAAATACTAGAACTGATGGTGTGAACCACACAGTGGAGGAAATTTGTTATGTAATTCCATTAAAATGGCACCACAGATGTAGTGGAGAGGTCCACTTCCGCGATTTAATTAGTTCAGGTGAGCTAGCTGTCAATTAAGAGCCCCGCCCTGTTCTTCAGTTTCCAAATGTAGGAGCTATGGAAGCACAGTTATTATGAACTAGTAAAGCGCTATATAAATACAGGCCATTTACCATTTACCATGAAATTGAAACCATCCACAGGGGCTAACACGGTTTTTGTAACCAGGCTCTAAACATAGACACAGCCTCAAGTGGAGGCTTGTTGCTTGGGCTCTAGGGCTGCAGCTATCGTTTATTTTAGCAATCGAGTAATCTATTGATTATTCCACCAATTAATCAAGTAATCGGATGAAAACTATTTTTTGTCTTATTAATGACCAATAGTAAATATTCAAGAGAGAAAAAACTGGTCTTTCAAAATGAACTGCTTATTGGTTTCCATTTTAGAAATTGCAATTTTTAAACATTTAACTGCAACCAACATCTCAAAAAACAAAATAACTAAACCCTTTGACTGTATAAACGCACCACATTAAATTTTTATTTTTTTAAAGAAAACATTTTCTTAAATGGAAAAATATATTAAAAAAAATCTCAAGTACAGTCAAAGGTCAAATCAAATATAATAAGATAAATAAACAATCTGAACTAAGGCATAAATATTTACCTTTACTGTCTATTTTTAAGGTTTTCTGACATTAATTGAATTTTATTTCAGTTTTATTTAGCGGCAAATCACAACAACAGTCACCTTAAGGCGACTTATATTGTAAGGTAGACCCTACAATAATACATACAGAAAAAACAACAACAATCATATTAGCAAGCACTTTGGCGAAAGTGGGAAGGTAAAACTCCCTTTTAATGGGAGGCAACTTTTTTGTGCTGCTGAAAAATGGTGTAGATGTTAATAATTAATAATAATTCAGTGTCCAACAGACAGTGTCCAATTTGATATTGTTTCACTTTCAATCTGAAAAATGTTACGAAAGCTTTGCAATACACCCTATGCCCTTCTTAGACTCAGCTCTGTTCGCTTCCATGTAAAACAGGACAGCTGCTGTCAGCCTTCAGCAAGCTGTCTAATTAAACCAGTGTGACTAAGTTAACAGTTTTGTATATTTTAATACAACTTCTGGAGGCTTACTGCTGATTTTTCTCAGCATAAAACAAACGGTGGTGGATGGAGGAGTAAAAAGTTTGCTTTTCTTCATGTTGGAGTTTGTTGATCAGGTGATTTAATGAAGGACTGAAAATGTAAAAGGTGAGTGCAGGAACACCGCTGATGTTTTGGATGTTTTCCTTCACTCGGCCTGAAATTTGGGGCACTGTGGCCTTGATGTTGTTCAACTTTTTAATCATACGCTACTCCTAAATACATATCTATTGCAGGTCTGTTTTTAGTCTCAAATGTAGGTGAAACACTCTAGTTTACATAGTTTATTACATCAGGGTGCAACAGAGCCATGCGTTAAACTAAGCACTGAAGCAAAGAATTTGGGTCAAGAATTTATTTAATCAAATTACTTGATGAATAATTGCAGCCCTAACAAACTTCAATATAAGGAACCCGAGTCCCCCCTCCTCCTGTCCCTTACTATTTTTCACACACATGACCATTCAGCTCAAAGTCCTGCCACTTTTCCATCTGCAGCCTCACAGAGCTGCCAGCACGACCGACATCACTCCTCAGCCGACATGATGAGCGAGGAACCCTGTGGGGAGGAGGCCGGACGGACAGACGCCGGGTCATACAGGTTCTGTCTGTCTGTCTGTTTGTGCTTCACTCTTTGTATTCATCTCACATTCAGATTCAACCACCAGAAAACAGGCTGAAAGGTTAAAGCGGTTCCCCCAAAAGCCTCCAAACAAAAACATGTCAGCAAGTGTTAAAAATAAATCCTAATCATTAATGAGACTGAAATCTGAGCCTGAGTTATGATTACGCTGTAATGATGGACAGATGATGGAGGGCGGTAGGAGGTGGACGTGAAGTGGAAAACGAAAAATGGAGGCATGATGATCAGAAAAAAAGAAAAAAGATTAAACAGAAGGATCGATGGTGAAGAAATCTAGGAGCAGAGGATGAGTGTAGGAGGAAGAAAGAATAAAGGAAACATGGATTAAAATGATGATCAGAGGGTGGATGAGGGGATGTTAAAAGACAGAAAAATAGCACAAGGAGGGGGAGAAGTGAGAAGAGATGGAGGAACGTCTCAAAGAACAGGAGGATGAGGAAGAGTGGAGGAAAAGATGAAGGGAGGACTGAAAACAGATTTAAAAGTAAAAAGAGAAAGAAGAAAAAGAAGCAGAGGGGATGTTCAGGTGTCTAAAGCTAAAAGATGTTGGGTTGGTAATGGATGGATAAAAAGAAAAAGAACCGTGTGGAGAAGGAGACAGGATGGGAAGATGGGAAAGATGGAGTGATAGAGGGATTGGAGCAAGAAGAAAAAGATGGAGTGATAGGAAGGAAAACAGAGTGTGGATGGAGGGATGGATAAGAAAGAAGCAGAGGATGGAAGGAAACAGAGGAGAGATCAGGAGAAGGAGGTGATGCAAGAGGCACAGAGAGAAAAGGAGGGATGGGTGAAAGATGGAAAAGATGAAGGAGGACAAGAAGGAGAAAGATGAAGCAGTGTTATAGAGGAGGGATGATAACAATAACACGAAGAGGCGAAGAAAGTGTGGAGGAAGAATGGAAGGATGAAGGAGAAGGAAGAGGATGATGAAGGAAGTTTGTATTTTAGAGGTATGTCGATTTTTTAAAAAGGATGAAGGAAGATGAAGAGGATGGAGAGATGGCGGAAGAAGAAGAAGATGGAGGGATGTGAAGGAGGAGGGAGGGAATTCCCTGTTGCGTGGATCAACAGCCAATCAGCTGCACACACACACTTTCAGCTCACACAGTGTTACATAACATTACATGCAAACCTCTCAGTGTGTGTGTGTGTTTGAGGGGGGCATACCCCGCTTTTAATTCACACAAAACATCGCGAGAAATCTGAATAGTTTACACACAAATCTCGTTTTTGTCTGAGGAAAATAATCAGACAGTTCTTTACACAAAAACAAATTTAAAAACATCTGAATGAGGTAAAATGTAGATTTTTAATACTAACTCGCAGCTTTTAACGGAATAAACGTGATTTCATTAAAGACTAAACGTGTTTTTGTTGATATGAGTGGATTTATGTGCGTCCACAGGTTTGTTTGTTTTTTTCCGCAGAGAAATGTACAGACACATGAAGGGAAACAGGAAGCGGGTCTCTCGCTCCTTCTTACCTGGGTGGCTTTATGGAACTGCTTCTTCAACCCCGCGACAGACATCACTTCAGCGGCGGAGGCAGCAACCACAGAGAAACGGTGTGTGAAATATTTATGTGAAAGCTGCACGGACAGCACGGAGCCTGGGACGGGAGCGAGGTGGAGCCCGAAGAGACGGCGGTAAATCCTACGGTTCGCTTTAAAGTCGGTACTGTCCGCTTATTGTGGAGGAAAATGTGGTGGAAACGCGAGCCGCTGATCGCCAAACCAAACCCAGCTGGATCTATTTTCAGTCAGAGAGAGAGAGAGGAGGAGAGGAGGAAGAGGAAGGGCAAAGATCCTCTAATGAGAAAATGGATCACACCAGCCTCTTCATGCTGGCACTAAAAGCTCATTTCATATTTATGATCTTATTCTTTTGCCCTTTTGTCCACCAGTGATGTGATGTGCTTATAAACCAGGATGTCCAGCTCTCAGTTTATGGCTCATGGAAAACTTTCTCTATTCAATCACATGCTTGATGAGACCAAAACTAAAATCTGGACTTCAATGGGAAAACAAGCTTGTTTAGTCTCAACATAAAGTTCAGCCAGAGCCCAGCATACAGCTCATGTGTTTGATTTGGCAGATGTGCACAGATGTGTCAGTGTGACATCATGAAGCGGTTTAGCAGTGAAGCAGACTAACGGAAGCTGGAGTTTTATGTTCATTAAATCCCCGCAGCTTCACAGGACCCAGAGGTGCCTCTCCAAAGTGAGACATTTACATAAGTTCACACTGTGGCGCAGCAGCTGCAGCTACAGTTACTACTGCATTATTCAGAGGATCACTGTAAGTCAGTATATCTGTTTCTCTACACCTAAGACAGGTGAGCTGTCACTCACAGTCACAGTTTGAATAAGAAATTATTTCTTACACATCGACTGACTTGATGTTTTTTATTTTAACAGATTTTTGTTTTGTTTTGTTTTGGGTTTTTTTTTTTTAGCATTCACATTAGTGGTTATTATTAATATTGTGTGGATCTTAAATATTGTGACCTCTCTAGTCACTTAAATTTTGTGGTATTTATGTGAAACCTTCAACTTTTAGAGCTTTTTCTGGGCACACCAAACCTCCAAGAAGATATGGGGGTGCTTCTCAAGATCTCCCACAAGAACATCAGGAATAATTAAAATCATCAAAATCGGAATATTTTATTAATCCTTAAAGAAATTATTTCTCTATCTATCTATCTATCTATCTATCTATCTATCTATCTATCTATCTATCTATCTATCTATCTATCTATCTATCTATCTATCTATCTATC